TCAATTATGATTTTCAGTTTTAGTCTGAGAAATAAGAAGGTTTACTTTAAAATGGGGTGATGTTTAAAGTGCAATCTAGTTCTGTTAAGCTAGCCTCCCAGAGATAGGATGAGAATATGTGTTGGTTTTCAAGATCCATGGGGTACTCAGTTCCTGTCTGGAATGGATTCATCAAGAATTATAGACAGAGTACAAATTGCTTCTCTGCGTGATTATAACTTTTGTAATATTACTTAGTGATTTTACAGTAAAAGTGTAGGGTAAAACAGTTGAGCTGAGAATACAATTCATTTTACTTGACTTTAAAAAATAGCATTATCAAACATTTTGTGATGTTTCTTTCATCATATATTGAACTGTCGCAAAGAAATAAACCTCCACTTTCTTTCATGACAGTAGATAATAAATTGACTGGCATAATTCAGCTGAGAAGTTGAAAAATGCATTGAAAAAGTGGAGCATAGCATGGTAGGGTTAACATTTATTCATAGATGGTGCAATTAAATAAAACAGGCATTAACTTCAAGGTCAGTCAGTAAAGTAATAAAATTGAATATTTAATTGAATTGTAATTGCTTCCCATTGATACATGCAAGTAAAGTAAAATAGATGTCAGCCCTACGAATTATAGCTCATCCTCCTAATTAATTTCTTAATTCCACATGGACTTGCTTAGTTCTTGTTGTGGGTTTATTCAGCCACCCAGCTTCCAGCCAGGAATGTCTGTTGGACCTGAATAAATGGTTACCTGTCAGGACATACAGTAAATTTTTCTACACTTCAAAGAAAATCTTGTGAATAACTTCAGTAACTTATTCACTTAGGTTAAGATGTACTCTGATATCCTAGAAGTGCTATAACATCACCTTGGTCCTAAGAACTATAGACTTATCAACATTACTATTTCATTATGTTGGTATTTGTATCATCTAACCAAATTAATAAATCCAATCAACTAGGTGATGAGATTTTCATAGGAGATAAGGATACAGTAGGACTCACATTCCATAGCTAACTCATTCAGGAGATAAATTGAGTGGACTGTTTGAGTTTGTGTATACTTTGTGTCAGTTCATGACCAAGGATTTATTAGAAAAGTGACAACTAAATGGAATGAATCTAAAAAAATAACATTTCTTTCAGCCATATGACCTTTCAGTCCTGTCTGCAATGTCAGCATCTCCTATGAATGCTGCTTCAAATGTTATGGCTCGTGCCACCCACAGAGGAAACCCAGATAAGGTTTCTGGCTCCTGGTTTTGACCAACTCAGAGCTGGACCTTAGAGAGTGAACCAGAGAATAGAAGAGCTCTCCATCTTTGTGTTTCCCTCTCTCTGTCCAGCTCTGAGAGTGTAACATTAAAATAAATAAATAAAGACTTTTTTTAAAAAAGGAATGAATGTATTAGATGGAATTACAAATTACGAGATATTATACATGTGTATACTTTGTATAATATAAGTATGTTGTGTTTTAACACCATCGTTTAGTTGTTTGTAGAAATACAGGAAGCTTCTTGTAAAGCAAACAAATTTAACTGAGTAGGGAACCAGAAGGGAAGTGGAGCAGCCAGGGTATGAACCGGCGTCCTTTGGGATTCCAGTGCATGCAAGGAGACAACTTTAACCACTAAGCCATTGTGCCAGGCTCATAAAGGATCACAAATATTGCAATTCTCTGTGCATATCATCTAGTTAGAAAATGTCAGTGCCAAAATAAATGAAAGAAAAAAAAACTAATATTTTAGAACTGCATGATTGTGGATATATTCGGTTTTTTTTAACCTTAAAAAAGATGTTTTTAGGGGGAAGGGAGATTTTTAAAGGTCTTTTGTTAAAATTATTTTAGTAATGTCTCATTCCACTTACAAAACTGAAAGGAAATACCAGAAAATTTAAGCATCATTGTAAGAGAATCTCTGTTACACTGGTAGCATAATTCTTATTGGGAGCAAATGCCAGAAGTAATACGGTATAACTAATTGTTATGTCATGGTGAAACTGAAATTAAATGCATTAATTGGTATGTAAAACCTGGGAGAGTATACCACTCAAAGATTTCCATTAAAGTAATCCAGAGTGAACTTTAATTGAAAAGTAGGAGGAGAAGCAGCAAGAAACAGTTGTGAGGATACACATTGGAAAACATGTTAATATGCCTAGCTCTTCTTGCTAAAAATGATAAAGCAAAAAATTATCATAGCAGCTTATATGGTGGAGCCTACTTAATGGCTAATTAAAACATGCTAACTTAAAATACATGATTTGGAGTGTATCAATGTCAGTATATTAACATGGTAAAAACTGGTCCAGACAGAAAATGATAAGTGTAAAATAATTAAGCTCAATTCTTTAGTGTTATATTTATAAGAAATGTTAAATTAAACTGTGAAAGGACAATCATGGAGCTTATAAGAGTTATCTATAGCAAAAACATACACAATTTTTAAAAATAAATGATAGAAAAATATATGCCATATAATAATTGAATTTAAAATGACCATTTCATCCATATAAAATAAGTTACAGAGTAATCACAAATCATTAAAAATATTTTTTTTTAGTTTTAAACCAGTGGTTTGACAAAGGTATGAAACTAAAGTTTTATAAAATCTTTTTAGACAATAATACTGATGATACACACAAGTTGCATAAAAGGTGAGACCATTGTAGTATTTGTCTTTCTGGGTCTGTCTGGTTCCCCTCAATAAGGTGTTTTCAAGTTGAGTCCATTTTGCTGTAGATAGCAGAATTTTAATCTTTTCTATAGCTGAATAATATCCATTGTGTATGCGTCCCACATGTTTACCCATTCGTCTGATGGTGGACACCTAGGTTGGATCTAGATCTGGACTCAAGAATACTGCTGCTGTAAACATGACGGTGCAGACAGTGCTTGGACCATTGTGTCCGGCCGTTTGGGTACATAGCCAGTAGTAGAATTGCTGGGCCATATGAAAGGTCTATTTCTAGTTGGTGTTTTTAATCTTCACAGGGTTTTCCACAGTGCCTGCACAAAATTTACACCCCACCAACACTGTATGAATGTTTCCTTTTTCCCATATCCTCACCAGCATTTGTTAGTCTCTGTGTCTGCAGTTTTAGCCATTCCGACTGGGATAAAGTGATACTGTGGTTTGGTTTGTATTTCTCTGATGACTAATGATATTGTACATTGTTCAAATATTTGTTGGGTATTTCTGTTTCTTCTTTTGACAAATACCTGTTGAAGTCCTCTGCTCATTTGTAAACTGGATTGATGTTTTTTCTTGTTGTATTTTTAAGTCACTCTTACAATCTGGTTATTAACCTTTTGTCAGATACATAGTTTGCAAATATGTTTTCCCATTCTGTTATGCCTTTTCAGTCTATTGGTTCCTTTGCTATATTAAAGCTTGTGAGTTTGTTATAGTCCCAGCTGGTTAGTTTTGCTTTGTAGCTTATGCTTTGGGGATCTTATCAAGTAGTCATACCATACACCAGTGTCCTGGACTATTTCCTCTACATTTTGTTTTACCAAATTTACAGTTTCAGATCTTAAGTTCAGAGGTCTTTGATTTGTTTTGAGTTGATTTTTGTATATGGTGAGTCATATGAATCTAATTTCATTCCTCCATATGTAAACATCCAGTTTTGCCAGTACCATTTGTCAAAAAGATTATCCATATGAATATTAGTGTCATTATTTTCAGACCTGAGGAAAAAATCTGTTACATATTGATTGGAGAATTTGATCTACTTAATATTAGTGAGCAAAGAACATTCAGTATTTATCTGACTTTCCTTTTGTTCATCTGAAGTGTGGTTGTAAGAAATGCTTACCAAAAAGACACCCAAGTGGAAACAAAAAACGTTAATTAGTTTTTTGTATACTTACTAAGCTGAATAGCTTAAGTCAATCGTAAATAAATATAATTGGTGTTACTTAAGCAAATATATATAACTTGTTCATTTCATCGCCAATTTATGCCCTTTAGCTTTCTTCTTCTTGACAGGTTAGTCAAGATTTACCATTTTCTGTGCTCTACTTTGTCTCCTGTACAAATGCCGCTATTACATTGACTGTCTTCATGGAGAAATTCTCATGCCATTGACAACAACAATAATTTTTCAGAGTTGTGCTGTATTTAAGATTCACTTTTATCTATTTGAAAGGCACAGTTAAAGTGACAGAAATCTGTCATCTTTCTATCTGTCTGTCAATCAGTTCACTCCTCAAATGGATGTTGCAACCAGAGCTAGGTCAGAACAAAATGAGGATCCAGTATCCCCCATCTGGGTGTAGGGAACTTACGTCATCTTCCATTGCTTTTTCTAGACACATCAACATGGAACTGATGTGGAAGTAGAGCAACTGAGACTCAAACTGGTTCTCATATGGGCTGCAGGTGATCCAGGTGGCAACTTTGCTTGCTATGCCACAATTCTGGACCCTGTTTCTTTCTTTACTTAGGAGATATATCATTAGACAAATGAAACATTTAATTTGAAAATCCAGTTTTTATGCCTATGTGCTATTATTATGTAAGCTAATTATATATGTATAACAGTCTACCAGTCTTTCCTATTCCTATCCTGAAGTCATATGTCTGAAATTTAATAAAAATAGGAATACATCAGATAATTTTTTCTGATTCCACTAAAAAATTCCCATATTAATAAAATATCAAGGATTTAAATTTCATATCTTTAGAATGATACATTTTTTTCACCATTCTAGTCATAAGTTCTCAAATAAGGAAAAGGAATTTAAATGATACACCAACTTGTTGATACAGTAGAAATGCAGTTAGTGGAAACTCTTTTTGTTCAAGAACAAGAAAATTATTTTCCTAATGATAGGAAAGTAAATAATAGCAAAGTACATTTTGCTTTTGGATAAAAGAAGTTTAAAATATACATACTGGTTTCCTGGGCAAATAAGGCATATATGGAAGGCAGATGTAACTTTAAACTTCCCATGTAATAGTTATCTTAAAAACTTCGTTCTTTTTTGACAGGTTTAGATCCAGATAAGCATCTTGGAAAAACCTTAGAACAAATGGAACCTGTTCTCTTAGAGGTAAGACTTTCTGCTAGTTTTCAAAATGTAAATAAAGGAGGAAAAACTACTATGATATGGTAACCATTGAGTTAAATTTATTTTTTTAAAAGTACAGATGCACTTATTATATATTTTATGAAAATTAAACTTCTAATTGATATGAAATATGTATAAAATTATGGAAATTATTGCCAACATTTAGATGCAAATACAGGAGTGAGATATACCAAAAGGAAATTGCTCAGTTGTAAAGTTTGACTTCCATTGAATTGGACATTTTTAAGTACATACAGTCTGTTATCACATCCTTTGCCATCAGACCCCGGGGTAGAAATTTCTTTTAGAAATTATGTTATCTAACACCTTCTGTTTGGCAAGTTATGAAATTAACTTACCAACCAGTAAAGAAATTGTCAAAAGGTTTCAAATGAACCTTTTCCACCTTTATCCTTGTCAAGTTATAAGTATGTCCCGCAAATTCTAGATTCAGTGTATTGCATTTGAGTTTTGGGAGCAGATTTTTTGTTTAGTGTGGTTAGATCAGTATAGTTGTTACACTATTTTTAGTTTTTTCCCCATAATCATAATGGAAACAACCAAATTACCCTATTTCTGTGACAGAAGTCAACTTCTCTGATAAGTCATCATTTTCCTGTACCGTGGAATTACTCCACTGATACTGCCTTGACATGGTTAATACTATTACTGTGATAGGAACTGTCAGCTGTTACACTCTTCAATACCTTCGTGAGTTTTACATTTTCTTTTGGAGTTATTATATTTTTGTTATTTAGTTTATTGATATATACCAAATGCCTAGAAATCCCAAAATCTTAATTTCTTTTTTTATTGTTATTTAGCACCTAAACTATGCCAACCACATGGTAAAAATTAAAAGAAAAATCTAATTATTATATAATTGTTACAAATTATGTTTCTAGATGCTGTAGTGTAGTTTATTGAAATCATTCTGTAGTACATGATTATTTTTCATGTTTAGCTAATGGGACTCTACCTCTAGCAATTTGATTTATGGGTATTATTATATCTGTGCTACTGCATTCACTATTATCAGGCTAAATTTAGCTTGTCAAACTTGTACACACATATATACTATATTTGTTAAACACAATTTTCTTATGTATACATAATGATTATATCTGCAAAATAAAATTAAACTCTTGGACAGTTAAGGAAAGAGAACTTCAATAATGAGAAAGCATGAATTTGGTGAAAGAACTTTTTATAGTCTGTCTCCAAAATGTATAGTTATGAGTTTAGATTTCAAGTGCATGGATTCTTTTCATAAAAGAAAGTAACAGGGTAGGCATTGTGGCGCAGCCAGTTAAGCAGCCATTTCAGATGCCCACATGCAGGTTCGAGTCCCAGCTACTGTGTTTGTTTCTGATTAGCTGTTGGATAATGTGCATGGGATTTAGCAGATGATGCTCAAGGACTTGGATTCCTGCCTTGCCTGTTTGAGAACTGGGTGGAGTTCCTGGCTACCGTGTGGTCCAGCGATGGCTGTTGCTGTCATTGGAGGAGTGTACCAAGATAGATGAACTTTCTGTCTATTTTTCCTTCTGTCTCCATTTTGTTGCTGTAGTTTTTAAATAAGTAAATAAATCTTTGTCAGAAAAAAAGACAAGTAAAATTCTGTAAATACCTGGTTGTTGGTTATAAATGATCCTTGAATTACTGCAGAATATTCAAACTAGAAATAGTATTCTTGCAAATACACCTAGTTCTGATTCATGTTAATCCTGGACAAAGTGATATGATCCTACTCTTAGTGCCTATTTCTGTCTAAAAAAAGAAGATGATTCAGAACCTCTAATCATTTCTCAAATATTTTGCTTGCAATTTTCAGCAATCAAAAATTGCTGATTCAGTCAGTAAGACAGATTAAAAAAAAAACTTGAAGACTAGGAGAAAAACAAACCATAAAAGTATCTCTAGAACATATCTCATTAAATCACCAGATTTAGTCTAAAGTATTAGTAACTCAAGTGTTTAATATATTAAGTGAGAAGATGAAGTGCTTCAGGGGAGAATTGGGATATATATGAAATAATCAGGTGGAGTTCTTCAGCTTAAAAGCATCTGAAATTAGGCATATAATATGCATGCATTTATTGGTAGATTAGACATAACTGTACAGGCAATGCAGGGAAGATAGTGTAATACAGAAATATCCACCTGAAGCACAGAGGAAGAAGCAGGATGGAAAATAGAGGGGAAGATCATCATGCATGTAATTATACCATTTCAGGAAGAGAGAATACAGAATAGAACCAAATAGGACGGAAAACAGAAGGAAAAAAAAATCATCATACGTATAATTGTATTGTTTCATGAATGTGGTCGAACCAGAACAGTACAGAACCAACAATGTCTGCAGAGATTTTACTATAGGACCCACCTGTGGTTATCTTTGCTTATTTTGACAAGCAGCTTTTTGGATGAAAAAATCCATTAAAGGGAAGCAAGGCAATTGATAATTGTGTAATTAGAACAAGAATTATTTTTCCTAATAGTTATGGAAAATTATGCTAAGCAGTCTGAATGTCTTTTTCCCTCCATCTGACTTTTCATACCCTGATCCATGTGTACATAAGCTCTCCATAAAATGGTACTCAATGAATGTTTACAAATTAGAAACACATATTTGTATTTGTACTTTGCTCTTCTTGGGAGCACCTACAAAGAGGACCCTTGGATTTTGTTGGTTCACTTTTCTTATTGTTTGGCTTTACGGTGCCATTCAGATTATTGCTAATCTTAGAGGCACAGTAGGATTTTCACAGATCCATGCCTTAAATCCCTGAAGCTAGTTAGAAAATAGCTGAAATTTAATAGGTTTAGAATGCTAGCTGTATGACTATGCAAATAAAACTGAAGATTTAGGCCATTGTTCTGGTATTGGCAATAACAGAACATTAGAAACCACTCTTTCACCTATGAGGGTTTGGACTAAGAAATCTTTAAACAGGGAATCTATGATATTTAAAATGAAGAAGATAATCATAAAGCCTGGACACATGAGCTGAAACATTCATATCTATGGCACCCAACTTAAATATTCTTAAGTCTTATCTGAAGCTTTGAAACTGTACTAGTTCTCAGTAACCTTGCAACTTCCCTAATAATAATATCAAGCATAATAGCTATGGATATGACTCTTTGTTGTTTTGTTGTTCACAGGCCTAAGGAAATACATTGCTTTTTCTGTACTGCTGAGAAATTCTCTAACAAAACATATTTTTTCCTTTCCTGAGATGGTCAAAGAATGAGGGACAACAGAGTTTGGCTGCATGTATCCTCATTTACTACACAGACATAGCCTCCCTTTGAGCATAAACCAAGAAAGAATTTTATGTACAAATCTCTTTCTCTCTAAATATATAAAAGTTTATATATTCCATGAGATTACTATAAATTAAACCCTAAATTTATACTACAAAAATAAGTAAAGCTGGCATTCCTAAATATATTGTAATATTTTTCTTTATTTCTGTAAGGATCTCATGGGTTACTAAAATCCTATTGCTTATTATAACATTTTAACATGCATTTGTTTATTTAAACATCAGAGTTACAGAGAGAGGGAGATTGAGATAGAGAAATCTTCCATGGCTGGTTCTTTCCCCAAATGGCCTCATTGGCCAGGACTGAGCCAAGCCAAAGCCAGGGGTCTGGAGTAACCTCCAGTCCCCCATGTGAATGCAGGGGCCCGAGGACTTGTTGCCATCTGCTGCTGCTTTCCTAGGCATGTTGTTGGGGAACTGGATCAGAAGTACAGCCATCCAGACATGAACCACTTCCCCTAAGTATGCCAGTATCGCAAGCTTCGTAACACTCTGTGCCACAGTGCCCACCCTGTCTTATAATATTTTTAAATGACTTTAAACACATATTTTAAGTAGAAGGGCCATAATCTTCCTGTAGCTTTCACTCTTTTGGAATTAAATTTCCAGTATGATTATTTTTAGGACAAAGTAATATAATGGACATTTCTGCTATCTAATTTTAAGGTTTCTTAACTCATTTTTTTTTTATTTCTCCTATATTCAGCTTTCTAAAAAGTATGGAGTCCATGTTTGTGGAGAAGGAGGAGAATATGAAACATTCACTTTGGACTGCCCTCTGTTTAAGAAGAAAATAATTGTGTAAGATATCATTTCAACGTTTTCTTCCCTTTCCTTAAGTGAAAGAAACAACTTAACATTAAGCTTCAGGCAACTTTTGTTGGCAGAAATAGAACATGTCCTCCAAGTTCACAAACACTCAATTTGTTTAATACCGGTGAAGTCGTCTGAATACCTAAATCAATACCTGACAAGACGAGGCCGTCATGGAAGGCTGTAAACTTTTTAGACATTGCACTTTGGTTTACTTGCTGATTATGGCCTGCAGTAAAACTCGTACCTACACACTGACACTTTTATCCTTTCATGAAGTGCGAATTGCCTGTATTATTTATCTTTCATTACAGCTACATTTGATAAACTGCCACATCAGTAGCCTGTGGGTTCCATTAACTCCATCCTATGTTTCCTTTTTCTTAGCTTTAACAGCTTAGAATGGTAACACTAAACATTTCTCCTCAGTTAGATTTTTACATGTAAACTTGCTTTTAAATGAATTCATTTTATGGTGAGTATTGTGATTCCTTTGCCATAAGTTATTCAAATTAATGTAGTGAAAAACAGAAACTTTTTTTCAGTTTATTACATTAGTATCCATGTTCTTAATTAATGTTCTTCTCATATGCTAAGAAAGCGTTTTATCTGCTTATTGAAAAAGATTGTCAGAATTATGCTTGTTTAAATGGACAATTCAATATTTTCAGTACTAAAACCTGAATTCTTGGTACCTATAGATAAGAGAGGAAACAATCCAAGGAAATTGAGAAAATTCTAGGCAAATTTCCTGAAAATTGCTTTTGTCTAGTGACACATGACAGGGTATTTTCATTACCATGTGCAATATTCATGTACTCTTGTTGTTTTGATATTGTTCTATGTTTGTTTCCATCAATTACATAATATTTTATTTAACAAACATTTTATCAAGCACCTACGTCTGGGACATTGCGCTGGACACATTTTATTTCTAAAATAATTTCTACCTTCAGAGTGATGAGAGAACATACCTGTGTATAGTTGTGATATTAGGTAGTAAAAGGTAGGAGTTGTAAATTCATGATTGCGAGATATTTCTTATGGCCAGTAAGAGCACAGAATGTGTTTAAATGGCAGGATTAGATAGAATTAACTGATAGGTGCATAATAATGTGTAAGAATGAAAAGACCATGCCTCTTTTGTGTGTTCATGGTGCACTCCCATATGGTAACATTTAGCAGATATTGTTTATCTGTGCCTGTCCATCTCTGCAGAAAGAGGAAGAACTCCTACACAGAAGAGAGGCATCCTGCTGAGTTCCACCCAGTGTTCCTCAACCAATGATTACTCACAGTGAACAACTCATTTTAGAGCATTCTAACAAATTTTCCCTGACACTTTCTCGTTGATAGTGTAACTAAATCTGTTTATGTCACTATCTCTGTTATGCTGAAGTTTCCTTGTCTATAAAATGACATCATTGAAGATTTCATTTTTCAGGCCTAGATAAGCAGATTTAGTTGTTATATATTGATGAATTAATTTGTCATCTGTGGCTTATTTTATTTCACTTTTATAGATTCCGTTTTTAGATTGCAGCTAGAGGTTATTGACTGGGATATATTCTTTTTAGTTGAAAAAGGATATCCCTTATTCACAGTCTTTTCATATCTGACTAACATGCAATAAATGTGATCATGTGAATGAACATACATTGTTAATTCTAAGATTGTATGGAAATTGTTATTCTAATTTGTATGACACAGTTTTTAAAATAATTTCAGTCCCTGTAAGTATTTTAAAGAATTGATCACTGATAATACTGGCTTTTATAGGAATTTTGCAATGCCTTATCTTATAAATTTGAATTCATTTTTTGGAATATATATAACAGCTCTTGATATATTTGTTGTAATACTATTCTATAATAATTAGCATACAACTAATGGTTTTTTAGAATCCTACTTCAACTGTCCTTTTTTTTTTTAAGATTTATTTATTTATTGGAAAATCAGATATACAGAGAGGAGGAGAGACAGAGAGGGAGATCTTCCGTCCGATGATTCATTCACTCCCCAAGTGAGCACAATGGCCAATGCTATGCCGATCCGAAGCCAGGATCCAGGAACTTCTTCCGGGTCTCCCACATGGGTGCAGGGTCCCAAAGCTTTGGGCTGTCCTCGACTGCTTTCCCAGGCCACAAGCAGGGAGCCAGATGGGAAGTGGAGCTGCCGGGATTTACTTCAGTGATATTTATGAAAAAGGGGGAAATGGGAAAGGATTTGGCCTAGCAATTAAACCTCCAGTTGGGATGCCTTTACACCATGCTAGAATGTCTGGGTTCCAATGCCAAATACCTGAAGAGCAGTTAGGACTGTGACAGGATTCCTGCCATTCACACAGGAGACTCATGCTGTCTACTGCCTCTCCTTCCCCCAGTCCTGCCTTCAGGCATTCAGCAAGGGAACCTGAGGATGTGTGCATCTTTTTCCCTCCACATAAGCCCTGTCATGTTCTTTGTCTTTTAAATTATTTTTTTTTTTATTTTTCAAAGAAAAGATTATCATTATAGAGAGAAAACAATTAGCCTTTACTGCAAAATTATTTGTTTATAGTAAGGAAAGTTCTAAAACACGGGTTAAATTTTTGTTTGTTTAGGGAGGTAATTAATAGAAGTCAGGATGGTTCTAGGAATTAATTGTAAATTTCATTTTTCCCAAATTACAGTTAGTACATTAAAAATCTTGCAGGAAAGGCCATTAAAGCAGTTTGTGTTGGGATTTTTTTTTTATTATTAATCTGCAACACTTTATCATTTAGTTTTATGTTAATTATTATATAATTTTTTTCTAAGACAAAACCTTGAGGTCTGAAAATGCCCTGATGAAAATATTTTTAGCCTAGCTATGTATAAGAGGACACTTGTGGATCTTTAAAATAAAAAAAAAAAATACTTTCTTGTAACTTGCTATGTATGTATTCATATATGTCAGTAGGAAGAACTAAAATCCCAAAGTTGTGTTAGTGCTCATTTCCTTTTCTTGGTTATTATCAGTTCTTTAATATCACATTTTTGAGTCATTCTTTTATTTCCATTTGAAGTATCCCTGTTACTATTACCGTGATGTTGCTGCATTGGGATTAATACATGGAGGAACAAGGAGGAAGAAAGGAAGGAAGAAACTACGCTTAACACTATATGCCCATTTTCTACTTTTGTGACATAATCATATTGTCTATCAACTCAAGGCATGACTCAATACAGAGCACTGTATTATGGCATTTTATAGTGAGGATAAAACAAGTATATTGTATCACCTGCCTGCTTATAAGTTCTCTATAGAACTTGCAAAATTATTTAAAACTATGCACTTTAAAAAGTATAAATTGTAGATTGGTTCTTTTGCTACAGATTTCATATAATTTTATTGATGTATATATGTGAATAGATTAAAACATTAATATATATATTGAACATGTATGAGAAGGTATGTATACATATAAAAATAAGTAAATGAAAAATCAGTGTGGGTTTCTGACCATTTGAGTAACTGCATTGTGAATGTGAGGAATTTTATCAAAGTTTATATATAAAGTCAGTTATTTAGCAAACAACTAGTGAAGCCAGGCAGTGCACTCTGTGCTCAGCCAGGTGTGAGTTGGGGCTGGCAGACAAAAATGTCCAAAACCGATCCTTCTTTCAGAGGAAGACAAACACATACATACACAAATATCATATAGTGGATGTGGTACATAAGGGCCGCAGATGCAGTTGCCACCAAGTAACCTGGCATGAACAGTTGATTCAAAAATACTTTTGTGTGGTGAATGTTTTCCCAATCTAGCAGCTAAGTCTTTTAAGACTCATGCATGCCCTATCAGACTATGTGCACTGGCGCTCCTGCTGTGTTCCTGATTTGAGCCTCCTGCTGGGAAGCAGCAGGTGAGTCCCTTTGGAGGTTAGGTTCCCACCATCCAAGTGGGAGGTCTAGAGTAGGTTCCCAACTTCTGGCTTCAAGTGGGCTAACCCTGCAGACATTCCGAGAGAGAACCGACTAGATTAGAATGATCTCTTTTTCTTTATCTCTCAAATAAATAATTTTTAAAGATTTAATTTGTATGTTTTTGACCAAGTGCCGTCATTTTGTCGTTACACATTTTACCAAATCATGTGCTGTCCTTCAGTGATCCAAATGTTAACAATTTATTATTTAAAATAATGGAACTGCTTCCTGTGTTTTTAAAATGTAACACATTATCTCTCCCTCTTAATAAACAAAAAAACCCCATAATTTGCTATTAGAACCTCAAACATAATCTCAGTTATTCCATATATGCTTTATAGGATATTTTTGATACAAGTTGTGTTAATCTACATTTATCCATATGGTGCCAACAAGCAGTTCATACCATTTTACCTGAATGTAGTAATTACCATGTCAGACAATCAATTTTAATAGCACTGATATGGCAGCCTGAAGAGTTCACCTAGAGCTTAAAACTACCACAAGCACTTCTTTGATGAAAGGTAATTGAGATTTTGTGTGAAATGCTGAGTGAATTGCCTCTTGGAAATGAAAAGTATAATGAAGGTACTAATGTTTAATGTTTAACCCCTACTAAGAAAATTTGTGCAAGTTAAATTGAGCAGGGATTTAAGCCTCACAGTTGTTCAGAAGGCTTTGAGTGACCATGAGGGCTGACTGAGTATCCTTTTAAAGATTTTAAGAAAAGAAAAAAAATTCCACTGCTTAATGCATAAGTTCTGTATTCTTCACCATTTTTCCAATTAAATAATGGGTTAATAAAATATGTATTATACACTAATAAAATAAGTAGAAAATAAGAATTTTTTTTTTTTGGTTTGGTCTCTTCTAGTCAGTAGCCAGAATGATTGCCACAATTTATGTGGTAGATAAATGTAATTTCTTTTTTTCTTTTTTGTATTTCAGGGATTCATCAGAAGTAGTCACACATTCTGCCGATGCATTTGCACCTGTGGCTTACCTGCGCTTTTTAGAACTGCACTTGGAAGACAAGGCAAGTAAGCCAGAGACACACAGTGGCTTTTAAAGAAAGTGACAATATACATATTTGCTGTGTATACATAATTATGTAACAACAAATAATAGGATAGAAGATATTAATTTTAATGATTTTTTTCAGCTCCTTAATAAACAACTAAAATATCACAATTGCTTATATTTTGAGAGATCTTTGTAATATAGAAGCAGTTTCTAAAAGTCATCAGTTTAGTTGAAAGGAAATAATGAGTAAATTAAATAATGGGCAGACAATAGAGGACGAAATAGTAAGTCAACCAGCAAGATAAGAATTCGATTATTATGCATCCATTTAAACATTGAAGGATGAAAAGGATTTCCATTGTACAATGTGAAGAGGGAAATAAAAACCTTTCTAAAAATATCCAGGAGAACAGATGTGCAAGGACAACAAAGCACAGCAAAAATTTCATTTTTAAACACATTGGTTATCCACGGGCAGAACAATGTCAATTCAGAGATATGTTGTGGAAGATAAAAGTGTGGAATACATTTTTTGATGTATTGCTTTATGTTTATCAGCAGAGAAATGATAACCTGAGGAAGAATATGTTTGCCAAAATGAATAATAATAATAATAATAATAAGCAGAATATATGCATTCAAAAAAAGTGACACCTGAATTTATGTAGTGAAATGGTAGTGACAAAAGTTAAGATACAAAACAATCTTCTGTATCTGTAGTGTTCTTTTCTCCAGTCTCAAGGTGCATTCATAGATTGATAATAGGGGAATCGGAAAACCAGGAGGGTTAAGGAAGATTCAACAAGGTAGGGAATGAATAGTAAACGCAGAAATTCTAGGATCGGAGTGTTCCCACGGCAGAGATAGTTACAGGAAAATGTCTATGGACTGGTGGATAATAGGTTGTTGAATTGGCCTGGAACATTTCTCTTGGTGATGTTTTACAAAAAAACAAAAACAAACAAACAAACAATAACCTTCTTCAGACTCACTCCAGCACATTCTGAAATGTATGCCTACTTCTCGGTTCCCTGTTACTGTTGCTGTTATATACGTAGACGAAGTATCAAAACCACTGACTGCTTTTTCCAGAAAAGCCTGCCATGATACGTTCAGCCCTACCTGAATTGCTGATATTGACCTTGTTTTGCTATTTCATCACTCTCCACAGTGCATTTACTCAGTTGCAGCTAACGGTTTTATTTGTTTGAAGTACTATATTTACTGACACTGAACATATGTGGTACATTTTCTTTCTTCTCTCTGTCTTTTTTAGGTGTCTCCAGTGCCTGATAATTACAGAACATCTAGTTGTATATATAATTCTTGAAAAATATTTTTTAAAACTGCTAAGCTACCATTTTCATATAAAAACCACAAATACCATTTTAATTTTGTCAATTATTATAGCCATTTTTTTCTCATTACTTTTTATTTGTATCTTAGAAAAAATATACCATTATCAAAAAATTTGGTGAAACCATTAATTTTTTTGGAAGTGTCAATGGCTTGTTTGTAATTTTTACAAAATTCCTGGAGGTTCTCTTTCTCTTTTGTTAACACATACTCCTTATGACCTGTATGAGTTACGTACGTACCTCCTTTTGTCCTTTTCACTTTATTTCCAACTCTCAGTTCTACAACAAAAATGTCTTTTCTTCCATCACGGTGATTTTCTCTCCTTCTGTGTTTCTATCTCTGTCTGTCTCGTGCTCACTTGATTCTATTCCTACAGAAGTTTTTGAAAACTAAGTTGAAAAGGTAACCACAATATTCAGCCAATTGATGAGTTTATTCCATCAAATGTCACCAAAGTGTTTTCTCATCTTAGTTTTATATATTTTTTTTTTACTTCTAAGATAAGGTAATTTTAATTTACATTATATTCAAAGGCTTATTCCTCAGCTTAATAAATGGTTCAATAAATAAAAAGTGAAAAACCATAGTTCAGCAGGAATATAAGCAAGGGCCATAAAGTTATCAAAATAAATAAATCAGTTTTGCTCATACAAAGTATGAGTTTTTAAGTAGTCACAAATCATTAAAACCATAGTGGTATGTCATCCTTAATTGCTTTTTTTTTTAACAAATACTTAATGTTTGACAAAACATTATACTTAAAGGAAAAACGTATGCAGGCATAGCATTTATATTTCTATTTTTTTTAAATTTTAGCTCATATGCATAAAAAGGAGAAAATGCAGTATTTTTTTGTGTGTGGCTGGTTTATTTCAATTCTCCGGTCTCATTTTAATTTATATTCATGGTTCAAAAGGTTGTGAGGAAGAATATTATTAATTCTTAATATATATTGTATAAGTAAAAGGGGGGACAGTTTTCATTTAACACCTGTGCTGATAGTAGACAACTAAAAAAAAAGAAAAATTTTTTTGTTTTAGTTTTCTGCAGGTGTCCTTTTTTTATTATTATTATTACATTGCGTTATGTGACACAGTTTTAGGCACTGGGATTCCCCCTCTCCCTCCCCCAGCCCTCCCCCATGGTGGATTCCTCCACCCTGCTGCATTGCCACAGTTCAAGTTCAGTTGGGGTTCTTTCATTGCAAGCATATACCAAGCATAGAGTCCAGCATCTTGTTGTCCAGATAAGTTCAACGGCTTCTTGTGGAGACCATCCCTGGTCTGAAGGTAGAGCCGGCAGTGTCACTCTGTGACTGTCCTTGCCCACAATAATGCACATATGACTGTGTATGAAGAACCATACTTTAGTAATGATATAGGGGAACTCGGTGGTGGAGGGAATTGGGGAGGGGATAAGGGAAATCCCAGGACCTATGTAACCATCATAAAATGATGATGATTAGATTTGACTATATAAAGATTGTCAAAAATATAATAAAAAAAATAATAGATTGGAAAAATAAACCAAAAAAAGGGGTTGAGTACTATTTCATGAGAGTTGTTTTCTTTCTTTTTGTTTTATTAAAGAAAATATTTTAATTAAATTAAAATGCACAGTATTGAGATTATTGTAAATTTTAAGTTATTTAGTTATCACTTCATAAGTTATAATCATTCTTAAACTTTTATATTAATTAAATTGCTTAAATTTTACCTTTAGATTACAATCTTAAATTATTTATAAAGGGTATCAAACTGATAGGAACTAAACATGGGATACCAAACAGAATGAATTAATGATGAAAAGCTCTAGGTTAGAATTGGGGAAATATATTAAAATTTCTTTGGGGCCTTAACTTTATTGCTTATGGCAAACTTGATGCTGAAATGTACCATACATCACTGCAATGACAGGCTTGAGAAAATGAAAAATACAAAGCTTTACATAAATCAGCCAAAGGATCATATTAAAATACATAAACTTTAAAAGAAAAATCAAGTCTTGAACTTGGAACTACTCAGAAACTCTTTCTTCCTTACATACTTGCCTTTTATTTTCAAATCTCTTGAAAGGAAGTGACATTTCAAATTTATTATTGGCAGAGCCATAGTATAGGGAGACAAAACTTATAGAAATTTGGTCACAATTTTACTAATGTTTCCTGATATCACTCAGTACTTAAGTTTTCTTTGCCCAAATGATCCTAAAAGTACTAAAGTATCCTATTACCACTTAGACCTTCACTTTGCTTTCTATTAAATAGCATCATAGAACACTTTGATATTTTATAAATTTGTAAAAGCTCACATCCCTATGGTTGTAACTGTTACAAACAGCATTGATCTTCTGACCCATTCTTATCAGTTACTTTATTTTTATTTATTCTAAAAACCTTGAAAAATAGTGTAACAAACTATTTCTATGCTTCTAGTTTACTAAATTATTATTAGTAATTCATTTAAATTTAAACTATTTAAAACTAGATAAATTCTGTAATTTTCCATATAGACCTAGTTTTTAAATAGTTCAAATTATTATACACTTATATTGTTTTTCTTGGTAGAAAAGGACATGCTGAAGTCATTTAAACTTCTTCATGGGACACAAGTGAAAAAAGTACTCACATTGTCGGATTGAATACAGTTGATTATGTAGTAAAGTGTAGGTAAAGTCTTGTGGCAGGAAATCATATGACTAAATTGTAAATGATTACTAAAAATATCAGGATAACAACTATTAAATATATTGTACCTGGTCTTACTGATAGCAAAACATATAATGCTTAGTTAGATTTCCTCCATGGAGGTATTTTACTACTCTCTCTATGCCAACTCAATTTTTTCCCCTTATATCTGGGACAATAAAGAACATAAAGGATGATTTTTATTTTCCAATATCTGGCTCAAGAAATGCCTACCACAGCTGCCCTTCTCACCACTTTTGCCATGACTGAAGAGCAGAAAACAGTTGTTAAATAATCACTTGAAGCAGTTTTCAACACCTAATGCTATGGGGCCCAGTGACATAGCATAATGGTTAAATGCTCACCTTGAATGCGCCAGGATCCCATATGGGCGCCAGTTCTAATCTCAGCAGCTCCAATTCCCATCCATCTCCCTGCCTGTGACCTGGGAAAGCAGTCGAGGACGGCCCAAAGCCTTGGGACCCTGCACCCGCATGGGAGACCCGGAAGAGCTCCTGGCTTCGGATCAGCTCAGCTCCAGCCGTTGCGGCCGCTTGGGGAGTGAACCATGGTATGAAAGATCTTCCTCTCTGTCTCTCCTCCTTTCTGTATATCCGCCTTTCCAATAAAAATAAATAAATCTAAAAAAAAAAAAAAAAAAACAAAAAACCTAATGCTATGAACTGAAATGGGTGCTGATGTGCCTGGAAAAACAGTGAAAGATGGCCCAAATGCTTGAGCCCTTTCACCCACTGGGAGACCTAGATAAAGCTCCTGACTGCTGGACCTGGCATTGTGTCCATCTGGAGAGTGAACCAGCAGATGGAAGATACTTTCTGTATGTGTCTCTCTCTCTCTCTTTCTCTCTCTCCTTCCTTCCCTATCTCCCCTTCCTCCCTCCCTCCTTCTCTCTTTCTGTACTTCACTTTTCAAATAAATAAATACTTAAAAAAATCTACATGGTACAACTTGGGATTTGGACAGACTCTGAGCCGTCGGCATTACCAAGTCACTGTTGCTGCAGAAGATAATTGAGGCAAATCAATAAATCAAACATTGGACTCATCCTTATGTACAGGGTTACTTATTATTGTAACTACAGAATGAAGTTCAGTATTAGCAACAGCATACCTTGTGTTTGCAAGTGAAAACTTGGCCGTGAAGAGTGTTTTTGTATCCTAAATCTGTGGAAGACTTACCAGTTTAGAGGATAAAAATAAATAAATAAACAATAATTTGTTTTCCTTCTCTACTTTCAAGCTCTAATTTGCTATCTCCTCCCCTCCTCCACCCCGCCATCATTTACCTTGTTGTTAAAATGTCCCCTTTAAGAAATAAAGCTTCTGACTGGTATATTCAGAAAATTTCAGTTTTGTCGTTACTCAAATCAGAAGGATCATACTATTTCTTCTTTCACTGTGCATTGAGTGTTTGCTTCTATTCATCTGGCATTATTAGAAATACAGTAGTGGATTAAACAACCAAACATTGTTCATTTCATAGAATATGTATCCTGGGAACTGAAACAAAGAAATAAATCAAATGTATTCACAATAGAGAGAATGTGGAAAAATTAACTTCTGTCCATAGATATGAGTGAATTTGGTGGAATAAAAATTTGGAAATCCTTAGCTGCTTACGGTGACAGATGGAAAACCAAGATTAAGAAGAGAAACAAAACTATTTCATGCACAATTATAGAAGATAGTTGTGAGTTTTGAATATTTGATGGGGTTGTCTTCTTAGAAGCCTGAGGATACAGCTAAAGGATGAATCCATGAACTGGAAGAGAGGTCCGAAGAAAGCATTCAAAATGAAGTATGAAGAGAAACAAAAAAAAAAAAAATAGGTATAAAAGGATAAGAGGCATAGGAACAGTGAGAAGACCTAAAATGTATGTAAATGGACTGTCAGAAACAGAGTGATAATGTGAAAAATAGTATCTGAAAAGATAATGGCTGAGAAAATTTCCAAATTGATGAAACATGAAGATAGATTCAAAAGTCTTTAAAACTGCTAAAAACGAAAGGTGAAGGAACTAACTGGGGAACATCCAAGACAGGTTGAAACATGGGCTCTTTTCAGAAAATCAACAATTGGAAATGAAAACCGATCTTTAAACAGAAAATTTGAAAGACAATAGAATTGTGTCTGTTGTACTAAGTGAAAATAACTCTCCTCTGAGAAGTCTATTCTCAGGAAGAAAGAGACTCTTCAAGCAGTGGTGAGCTGTTCAGAATTATGATAATACATTTTTCAAGATTAATAATGTACCTTCAGTTTATTCATTTCATTGTATATAATTTTTGCTTCAAGAAATAAATATTTAGCTCTAGCTAATAACATTGGTGATAAATACTTTAAAAATTCTGATGTCTGTGTCTTACGGTGAAGTCATAAAAAGAAATTGATGGATGTATGGAAAAATGAGTAAATAAAATGCTAATTATAAAGTTAGAGGCTGGTTATGTAGAGACATAAATTTGCTAAAATTTTTCTGCGTTTAACATTTTCTTTATAAAATTTTAAGAAAAGATTTGAGATAAAAGATTATCAAGCAAGAACTTAAAAATATATTGTTACTAGCACATTCACATCAAAGTGCAGTAAAAAGTGGTAAGACAGAAAGAAATGATGCTAGATGTAGTATCAGGGCCACATAAAAGATCAAGGAGAGGGAGCAAGGCAGTAACCTAGCAGCTGAGGTCTTTGTCTTGCATACACCAGAATCCCATATGAGCTCCAGTTTAATCCCTGCGAGCCCCGCTTCCCATCCAGCTCCCTGCTTGTGGCCTGGGAAAGCAGTCAAGGATGGCTCAAAGCCTTGGGACCCTGCACCCGTGTGGGAGACCTGGCGGAGGTTCCTGGCTCCTAGCTTCGGATCAGCTCATCTCCAGCTGTTACAGCCACTGCGGAGTGAATCAGATGGAAGATCTTCCTTTGTCTCTCCTTTCTGTGTATCTTTCTAATAAAAAGAAATATTTTTTAAAAATCAAGGAGAAATGAAAACAAAGTGACAATATAAATATGTTGGCTGTATTTAACAATACTATCTCACCATTTATGCAACGCAGTGCATTTTTTTCAAATAAGAATATTAGAGGAATTGTTAAAGCCACTGTATTTTGCATGAATAACAAATGCTCACATCAAGGGTGAAATAGCAGAAACTAGGATAATTGTAGTCATGCACTGCATAGCAACATTTTTATCAACATTATAAATGATGGTGGAGCTCAGTAGTGACACCAATGCTTTTGTAGCAATGCAACCCAATGGCAGACATGTTGAAAAGATTACTCTGAACCTCACTGGAGGATTCTCTGACGTTGCTATCAGCTGCATTCCGCAAGCAACCCTGTTCCCCTGTGGTCTCAGCCCCTTCTCTACTTGGTCTGAATCCTGCTGTATGCTTTCTTTGTGGAAAGGAGCCACACCAAACTGTTTCTTCCATAGCAGACCCATAAAACATGAGTTTTGGGCCCTGACATGGGCCTAGGACTTAGTTCCACCCCCTCTTTCTGAGAAATAGAGTGGGAGAAGTGCCTGTGCTTCCCTATAGTGGTAGACCTACTGACCTCAGACCCAATGCTGTAATAAAGTAGCCTTTTCAGTAGGCCTTTTCCCCTTTCTTAGATTTTAAGGAGAATCCTGCCCACATATCAACCCTCCAGTAAACACATATATCCAGAACATAAAAGCACCACATCTAGGGGCAGATTATGTAGGGGAATTGTGGGCTCACCTCTGTGGGACTGCAACAGCCACTAGTTCATATGGAGAGCTAACATCGGTGATGGGCTGAGCTAGGCTGGACTGCAGAACTCACCTGATAGGAACCCACCTGGCACAGCAGCTGAAGCTCTGGAGGATATCAGGCAGGGTGAAGCTGAAGCACATGGAGCTGCTGGGACTTAGGGCAGACCGTGCTGAAAAAAGCTTAATATGATGTCAAACTTGAAAACTTGGGTCCAAACTTGAAAACTTGGGTCCAAAAGAAGCTGGTAATGTGAAAAGATAACTTACAGAAACTGTTTGTAGTTATTTTATGAGGTTAATAGCCAAAACAAATGAAGAACTACAATTCAGCACCAGAAGAAACAAATAACCTGATTTAAAAATATGCACGCAAAGGACTGTGTGTAGACATCTCTGCTTAGACTGTACAAGTGATCAAAGCATGTAGAAATTTGCTGAGGAAGCCAACACTGGCTCAGGTCTTTAACCCTCTGCTTACAATGCCAGCATCTTATATGAGAGCACTGCTTTAGGTTCAGATGCTCTGCCTCCAGTCCAGGTTCCAGTTCATGCCCGTGGGCACAGCAGGTAATGCTTGAAGCACCCGAGCCCTTGTCACCCAGGTGAAATAACAAGATGAAGTTTCTGATCCTGGCTTCAGCCTGGTTAAGCTTTGGGTCTTGTAGCCATTCAAGGAGTCGATGAGGAAGGAGATCAGGGGCAGGGGTTTGTCATCCATGTTTATTATACTGCTGTGCAAAATACCCAAGATTTTGTGCAACCTAAATGTGCATTAGTGAATGGATGAGTGTTTAAAGAAAATATGGCACATCAATTTAGCGTAATATAATTCAAACCCCCCAAAAGAGGAAAATCTTGTCACATTGAAAACATGAATACCACCTTTAGTATAATAAGTCAGTAGTATAAAGATGAGTATAACTTGATTCCAGTTATCAAAACCTGAATTCTTAAGCAATCAAATATGTGGGCAAGCATTTGGTTAAGATACATCTTGGGATACCTACATCCAATATCCGCATGCCTGGATCGTCCTGATGCTTCAACGTGAAAAGACAAAAGCTTATGTTTAAGTTAGGAGAACAATAAAGATTGGAATGACCACTTCCATTCAGTGGAAAAGCAAGGCAAATAATTGAATGTATAATTTAGAAAGAAAAAAAAAACTGTCGTCGCTCATTGTCATTGTTTAGTGGATTATTGTTACAGTATAGGGGAAAGCAGTAGGGGGAGAGTGTGGTGGATGGTGGAATGGGAAATCCCTGAGCGCAAGGAACTGTATCATTAAAAATAAAGAATATATTAAAAAAATTTTCATTAAGAACCTACAGCAATGTTCTTAGCATTAATACTGAGTTTGCCAAGGCTTCTGGGTACATGGTTAATTTCAAAATCAGTTCAGTCTGTGTGCCAAGAAACAGGAAGTATATGATAGTCAACCTTCCACTCTGTGAAGTGACTTAGGCATATTTTCTTTCATGGTGGGAAGAGTGATAGAGATTTTCTAACATCTGTAATCTCAAATTCTTTATAAAGTATGGATGATAATACTAAATCTTACTAAATTAATTTTCCTGTATTTTACCATTTTTGATTAGCTGAATACTTTAATACATTTTCTACATTTTCACAAGTTAAACATGCAA